TGTGAGAGAGAGAGAGAGAGAGAGAGAGAGAGAGAGAGAGAGAGAGAGAGAGAGAGAGAGGCAGGCAGGCAGGCAGAGAGACAGACAGACAGACAGGCAGACAAGAGAGACAGTTACAGAGACAGAGATAGAAATACAGATAGAGACAGAGACAGAAATAGAGATAGAGACAGACACAGAAACAGAGACAGAAGCAAAGCAAAAAAAGAAGTGAAAAGAAATAGACACAAAAGAAATAAACTAAAAATTGCAAGTAAGTAAACAGCCACTCCAACGCGGTAGACAAACCGAGTCAGAAAATACAGAGCGGAAGATCCAGTCAGCAAAATGCCCCAACGACCTCGTAACCAAGGCAAGAGTTATCGCCTAAACCTCCTGCTCCCTCATGACAATCAGCTGCGAGTGACACTGTGAGCGATTACACCCCTTCCCCTTCTTCCCCACCATTCTGAACCCCACCACCCCCCCCTTTCACCCCACTCCCCTCCTCCCATTCCCCTGCCTTCCCCTCCCCTTTAACTCCACATCTGTCTCTCACTCTTCCTCCTCCCCTCCTCCCTCCTCCCTCCTCCCTCCTCCCCTCCCCCCTCCCTCCTCCCTCCTCCCTCCTCCCTTCCCTTTAACTGCACATCAATCCCTCACTCTTCCCCTTCCCCTTCCCCTTCCCCTCCCTCCCTCCCTCTCTCATCCCTCCCCCTACCTTTAAAAAAAAGGACTGTTTCCCCAAACCCCGTGAACTTTATAACTTTGACCTCTATAAAAGGATTCATTTCGGTAATGTAAAAAAAAAAAAAAAAAAAAAAAAAAAAAAAAAAGGAATCTGCCACTGGATGAGAGATTAGTGATGCCCTCTGTCGGAATGCCATGGGTGGGGCTTCACTGAAACCTCGGTTGTACTGTACTGTTTGTTTATTCTAACACTTATTTGCCTATCGTTTTTCGGGGAGGTTTCAGAGGAACTTTAAGTGGAATAATGGAAGGAAATAGGAGAGAGCAAAAGTTAGACAACTTCAAGCGATATAGGATTTCTTTATGTGTGTTCTGCCTGCCTGCCTGCCTGCCTGCCTGCCTGCCTGCCTGCTTGCTTGCTTGCCTGCCTGCCTGCCTGCCTGCCTACCCATACACCTACCCACCCACCCACCTACCCACCCACCTACCCGCTTGCCTGCCTGCCTGTCTATCTGTCCGTCCCTCCCTTCCTCCCCCCCCCCCCCATATCTCCCTCTGTTTCCCCCCCACTCCGCCTTCGAGGACACCGGGCATCTCAAAACGAAAGGGGAGATGGATGGAGGGGGGGAAGTGAAGGGGGGAGGGAAGGGGAAGAAGAAAGGGCAACCGTGACAAAGGACTCTTACGGCGTAACAAAAGAACGCAAGGGGGAAAAAAAAGAGATAAAAAGGGGGAGAAAAAAAGGGGAAAAATGGAGAAAAAAGCGGGGATAGAGAGAGGGCGAGGAGATGGGGAGAAGAGAAGTGGGGGGGAGAAGAGGAAGGGGAAGGGAGGAGAAAGGTAGAAAAGGTTACATAGGTAAAGAAAATAGAATAGGGAAAGAGAACCTACTATCCTTGTCGATACCCTTTCCTTCTTTCTAATTCTTTCTTATGATTTTCTCTTTCTTGCCGTTGCATGTCTCATCCCCCCCTCTCTCTCACTATCTCCCTCACTGTTTCTCTCTCTCTCTCACTATTTCTCTCTCTTTCCTTCACTAATTCTCTCAGTCCCTCTCTCTCTCTCTCTCTCTCTCTCTCTCTCTCTCTCTCTCTCTCTCTCTCTCTCTCTCTCTCTCTCTCTCTCTCTCTCTCTCATTCTCTCTCTCTCTCTCTCTCTCTCTCTCTCTCTCTCTCTCTCTTCCCTCCCTTCTCTCTCTTCCCCTCCATCCTTATCTCTCTCTCTCTCTCTCTCTCTCTCTCTCTCTCTCTCTCTCTCTCTCTCTCTCTCTCTCTCTCTCTCATTCTCTCTCTCTCTCTTTCCCTCCCCTTCTCTCTCTTCCCCTCATTATCATTATCAGCGATAATGATAATGATGTTGACACTGAAAAATACCGATAATAACAAAAAATAAGATAATAAAGCAGATGCAGCGTCTGGCCGCCCATAGGAACGAGAGTGCGCGCGCGGAGGAGCACACCCCGTGCCTCGATTGCCAATAATAATAAGCACATTCACGTTCCCCTCATTCCTTATCAACCCCCGAACCCGCTGTCATGTGCACGCCCTCGCCCCCTCTTGCGCTGACGCCCTTCCCTCGCCGTCCGCGCCGCCCGTCTGCCCGGCTCGCGGTCTCGCTCTCGACGCCCGTCTTCTTCGGTGTGTGTGTGTGTGTGTGTGTGTGTGTGTGTGTGTGTGTGTGTGTGTGTGTGTGTGTGTGTGTGTGTGTGTGTGTGTGTGCTTTTCTTTCTCTTTGTCTCTCTTTGTTCCCGTTTGTCCTACCATCCCCCCCTCTCTCTCTCCTCTCCTCTCCTCTCCTCTCTCTCTCTCTTATATATATATATATATATATTATGTATGTATATTTTCTCTCTC